CTATTCATTGTACCTAATAATATGTTTAGGTGGCATAAATAGCACTTTTTTGTTAAAACCCAGATCGCTGGATACCCATCTTTAGTGTGTATGTTGTATAACAGAAAATAATACAATAAGTGATTTTTCATACAAATTTTCAAACGACAATTAAGGCAGTACATTTTATTTAATGGAAATGTTAATAAAAAAAACAATCTATATTTTGCTCTGAAATTATAATTTTTATTACAGCACGATAAGACTACACTAATATCCAAATATACAATTTTTATTACAAAGAGTGTTCACTTAAGAATACATTATTGCCAAAAAATACAATTTTTATTACACAAAGTATTCACCAAGACTACACCAATACAGTGCGGTTACAGTAATGTCGCACATTATAGAACTCTAAAACAGCGAATAGATTTATTAACCATACTTGACCCACTATCAGGGGCTAGCTCACAAGATACAGTCGGTTCATCTTTAAGGGCGGTCAACACAAACTTGTTAGCACCTGCTCCCCACGGCACATCAAACGTCAACTTGTAATCATTCTCCGTCTCGCCTTGCTTCCTCAGGAATAAATAACCAGTGACACCCGACGGCGAATGTTCACGGCCGCACGCTCGAACGGTCAGCGGATTATCTTTTGAGATTTTCGAACCATTTGGAGACGTTAACTCATTACATTTACCATCGGTCCATTTTCCAAAGCTTAAAAATGAGTCACGTACTTCCAAATGACTGTCGGCGTAGTTGTACTTAATCGTAAATGCCGCTTTTTGGGCTTCTGCATACATTATAACATTATTTGGATCGGAATTAGAAATTACATTCGGATTGTCGCCGGATTGCGTATTTACGTTCAAGGTTATGATTGCGGACCGAACGCTGGTTACAGCGAGAAACACAAAAATTAATCGGTACATGATTGCGAAATTGCGTTATAAAATGTAAAAGCAACGAGTCAGTACTGTGTGTAATTTGTAGTTGTACTGAATGTTTGACTACTGGATTGACCGTATATATACCAAGGAATTGCCAGTTTCGCAATAATCGATTTTACATTTTGTACAATAATTCTGAACTTCAGACACAAGAGGGCAAAAAGTAAAAAGAATGATAGTATGTGTGACCTACTTATTGTGATTTCTATTTTGAAAAATGAAGAAAATTCTCAACCAGATTGACCTAGATTGACTCACCGAATTCGTGTTAATATAAACGATAAACGTACAAATTCGGTCAGCCGTCGTGTACAAAAAGTGTGTAGCTCTAGCTACTGAATTTACGTTATTTTTAGCAAAACGTAAAAATTAGATCGGCCATAGTTGTACATCATTACTATTAGGATATTAATAATATTAAAAAAATTATAGCAACTTCATTGCATTAATATTCAGCTTATTATTGTATAAATAAAAAATTACCTTTTTTTATATCATTATGAGCACGAATAATAATTATACTTAATTATTTTGTGTTCTAGTTATAGTTAAGGTATAATTTTCTAATCAAAAATTGTCTTTGTGACCATAATACGGCTATCATTATTCTTCAAATAGTTTCTACTGATATTACAAAAAAGTATCAATTTTGCCTGATTTTTCAACATTGAAACTAAATTGGCAGAAAAAAAAAATGTTTGACTAATCAACTTTTTGTTATTTTTACATTAGAAAATGTAGAAATTGACTCGATCGTCGTATGCATAATGTGTATAGATCGACTTACCAAATTTATGGTATTATAGCGATAAATATATAAAGTCAGCCGTCGTACACAAAAGTGTGTAGCTCTATCTACCGAATTTATGGTTATGGTAGCGAAATCGTATAAATTAGATTGGCAGTGGTATCCAAATGTGTGCAGTTCAGCCTACCGAATTTTTCAGCGTGTGTAGATCGAATCACTGAATTCATGTATTATAGCGATAAACGTACAAATTCAGTCAGCCGTTGTGTACAAAAAGTGAGTAGCTCTAGCTACTGAATTTATGTTATTCTTAGCAAAAACGTAGAAATTTGATTGGCCGTGGTATACAAATGTGTGCAGTTCAGTCTACCATTTTCCTGTTTACTAACTAAGTATTTTTATGATAAAGATAAACAACATATTTATATTGCGACATACTTCCTAATAAATAGTAATAGTTGAGAATTTGCATCAAAGCAAATTTTGTATGTTATTTGCGGTAATCGCTTAAGTTATTTTATAAAAATATTTAAATTATCGTATTAAACGGTTTTAATTAAAATACTACTGAAAATGACGTCATACCTACTGTCACATGTTTATAGTTTTATTTTCCATTGTATGTAGATTCATAATTAAATTTGTATCTACGGTATTATATACGTACATTTTAGCACTCGACGCTAAACAAAACACATGATTAAGTTTTTATGAAGAAGGGGCGTCATAATTAAATGTTTGTACAAAAACATTTTAATTCAACAAAATACGACCATTTTTTGGCTTAATTCTCATATTTTTGTGACGAAACCCAAAAATAATTTGAACACCTTTTGTTATAAAAAAAATTGCTTCTTCGAACCGGTTACCTCGTTTGAAATTTAGTAGTATCTATCGTTATTATTGTACTCAAAATAAACAATAATCCAGGCAAGTTCCTACGTTCTCGCTGAAGTAACATAAAGTATCTAGGTGGTTTGAACGACATATCTAATTTCAAAGTTTTAGCTAAAAATAATGTAATTCGGTAGCTAGAGCTACACAATTTTTGTATAGCACGGCTGACCAAATCATTATGTTTATTGCTATGTGAACATGAATTCGGTGAGTCGACCTACACACTTCTTTTGACGATCGAATAAATTTCTACATTTTTAATGTAAAAATAATAAAATGTCGAGCACTATAGGCAATCATTTGGTACGTTTGATTATGAAGCACCATAATATCTGAGCTCTCGAGTTGACAACAGGGTTGAAATAGCTGTGTACTTAATTAAAATATTTTTGGTGAAATGTAAAATAAAAACTTTAGGATTTGTAGCAATTAATACTCAAAATTAAGCATTTTTTCTTTAAATTTTCATCAAAACATTTTATTTAGATACACAGCTTTACATTATAATAATATTTTTAAGATTTGTATGTGGTTTAAATAGCGTTTTTTTCTTAAATCCGGAATAAGAGTTTTAAAGTTAGGATGAGAGGGAAAGTGCGGTTGGAAATGCGCGCAGATAAAAATAATACTACACTCCATATTTCCTGCTGCTCTATACTTAAAACTTCAATTACTTCAAAAATAGATATCCGATCCTGGTTATCGACCAGTCAACATTTTTAGTATATTATTCTCAATTTAAAAAGTTAACCTAAATTGTAGGTTTATCGCTACAATAACATGAATTGGGTGAGTCGATCTATACATAATATGCTATGTATACGACGGCGATTCATTTTCTACACTTTCTAATCTAAAATGACAAAAATTTGAAAACTTAAACTTTTTTATTTTTCGCCACTCGAGTTTCAAATAGTGCTTAGTTATATTATGTATAATACGTATTCTAAAAGTTATGGGGTCAAACTGTGTTAAAATCAATAATCTGAGATTTTTAATTTTGTACTCAACAATCGAGCAAGTTTTAACGTTTTCGCTAAAAATAACGTAAATTCGGTATCAAAAGCTACCTACACAATTTTCTTATAAAACCGCCGATTCAATGTATATATTTATCGCTAAGAAATTTCTTGTCTATCACGGGCCTAATAACAACGTCATGTTGAATAGTGTAGGCAATCATTTGGTACGTTTGTTTGTGAAACACCATATCTGTATGTGAATTTTGCCAGGGTAGCAATAAACGCTGCTCTTACTAATAAACTTTACCGTTTGCCCTCTTGTGTCTAAAGTGCAAAATTATTTAGTTGTTTATAATACTTTGTCCGGTATAAAATACAAAATCACACAGCACTATATTATAATAATATTTATAAGATTTTTATGTGGCTTAAATAACGTTTTTTTTTTTTAAATCCGGAATAAGAGTTTTAAAGTTAGCATACAGTTTGAACTACAAATTATTTGTTTTAACATACCTATAAATGCTTTATAATAGTGCACTAATTTGAACTTGCAATAGCTATAACTTTTAAACAGCTGTTGAGTATAAAAACTGGTTTTTAACATTTTGGTTTTCAAAATATTCAACTTCAACAGAATATCCCGAAAAGTATAGGAGTTCCAATTTAAATTTCATACGTAGACGGTGCACATGCGCAAACAACATAAGATTAAAATTTAGACATTGAAAACAATTTGCATACAGTTTGAACTTAGAAAGTGTATTTCTAGTACAGAATGTTTTTGAATAATAAAAATGTTTAGCTTTGGAATTATAATTGTTATTGTTACAAAAAAATAACACTACACTAATGGCATATATTATACAATTTTTATTACAAAACATATTCACTGAGACTACAACAATGCCCGAAAATACAATGCGATAACGGTAGTGTTGCACGTTATCATATTACTCTAAAACAGCGGATGGACGATGGAATCGAACTTGAGCCTTGCACGTCTGGCTCACAACTTATAGGCCCATCGTTTTTAAGGGGATCCAAATGAAAAATTGTTTTACCGGTTATCATCGACGGCACGCTAAATGTCACCTTGTAATCATTTTCCGTCTCGTTATTGAGCGCCAGGTAAAAATAACCTTTGACACCCTTCGTCGATAGATCCTTGCCACACGCTCGAATGGTCACCGGATTATCTTTTGTGATTTTCAAACCATCCGGAGACGATGTCTTTTTACAATCATCTTTGGTCCATTTTCCCGAGTCTAAATCCGAATCACGTACTTCCACATAAGTGTCGTTATGATTGTACGTTATCGTAATTGCTATTTTCGGATCCTGAGAAAAAAGTGAAAATAACAAGGAATAAATTCACCATGCTGTGTAAATCAGGTGAAACGGAAACTGCATAGTCTGATAACTGCAGTTGCAATTAACCACTTACCGACTGACACGATTTTTCGCACAGTGGCTTGCAAACACTTTTGCAGAGAGCTGTAGGTAGACTTATTGGCAGACGCGAACATATAACAGAACACAGGGGACCGCAGACGATGGAGCATTTATCGAACTGAATTTTGTCGGACGACGTATCCACGTTTACGGTTACTAGTGTGGACCGAACGCTGGTTACAGCGAGAAACATAAAAATTAATCGGTACATGATTGCGAAATTGCGTTATAAATTGCACGTGCAACGAGATGGCACTGTTGGTAATTTGTAGTTATACTGAATGTATGACTACGGAATTAACCGTATATATAACACGGAACTGCCCGTTTTGCGGTAATCGATTTTGTATTTTATTACGGACAAAGTATTATTAACAACTAAATAATTCTGAACTTCGGACGCAAGAGGGCAAACGGTACAAAATATGATAGGTAATATGTTAAATGTGTTGCTCCCTTTGGCCAAATTATCGCCTTCAACACAGGATTATCAACTCGACAGCTCAGATACGGTGCTTCACAAACAAACGTACCAAATGATTGCCTATACGATTCAACATGACGTTGTTATTAGGCCTTTGATAGACAAGAAATTTCTCAGCGATAAACATTTACATTGAATCGGCGGTTTTATAAGAAAATTGTGTAGGTAGCTTTTGATACCGAATTTACGTTATTTTTAGCGAAAACGTTGAGACTTGCTCGATTGTTGCATATCAAAATTAAGAATCTCAGACTATTGATTTTAACGTGGTTTGACCCGATAACTATTAGAACACATAATATACATAATAAAACGTTATTTTACTGATAAACGTACAAATTCGGTCAGCCGTCGTATACGAGAAGTGCGTAGCTCTTGCTACCGAATTTACATTATTTTAGCGAAAACGTAGAAACTATTGACTTTACATAGTTTGACCCCTTAACTATTAGGATACGTGTATTACTATGCTATGCGTATTTTTTTTTTTTTTTTTGAGAACTATTTCATGTTCTTCTATAAAAAAAAGTTAATACTCGATGTTCAGCAACTTTAAAAATATGTAACTCAACCTGCTAACATTACAGTTTACCGAATGGAAAACCGTCAATATTAGATATATAAAACGTTATCGAAAACTATCATGTAACCGGTTATTGTACAAATTAAAGATGAACTTGGTATAAAAACCATTATGGGCTAATTAAACAAATTAATATGCATAATTATTGTTAAACAAACCGTGTCTTTGTGTTCACATTTGTTTTTACAATCGGCCATCATCATTTATTAAATAGTTTCTACCGATGTTCAAAAAATGTAAAAATGTTGACACATTTTTTATAATTAATACTCAAATGGCAAAAAATTAAAAAATTTAAGTAAACAAACTTTTGTCATTTTCAGATTAGAAAAATATGTAGAAATTGAATCGACCGTCGTATGAATGAAGTGTATAGATGGACTCAACGAATGCATGTTATTATAGCGATGAACCTACAATCTCGGTCAGCCGTCGTACACAAAAAGTGTGTAGTTCTAGCTACCGAATTAACGTTATTTTTAGTGAAAACATAACAATTAGATCGACTGTGGTATACAAAAGTAGGCAGTTGGATCTTCGATTTTTTCATATTTGTAGATACAACTGAAATTAGTTCAACTGTCGATTATAGAAGTTTTTGTTGAAACAACCTAGGTACTTTATATGATTGCAGCATAAACTTAGAAGCCTATAAACCCAAAATTATAATAAATAATATAGAATAATGTTACTAATATATATGTATAATATAATATATTATTAATATTTTTAATCTCGATTATATAGTTTATCACTACTATTTTAGTATTAAAATAATATGAAATATAAGTATGGGTAAATTCCAGTTTAGGTACTTATTATTATATGGATGTGGATAGTTAGTTTTTAAATACTACTCAAAATCATTTAACTTTTAACAAATAATTTGTATATTTAGATTTTGGATCGCCGAATAATCAAACATATTTTCTACAAATTATTTTTACCTATTTATCCATCACTCTTCAATTGTTTCCCTATTTAATATATACCGATTGACCTCTAGACATTGCATTCATGTTTTGTACCCTTGAGTTCCTAAGTAACCCTCACAGGACACAAACATATCATTCTTTCACAATTTTAAACTTCTAATAACCATCAGATGTCAGACTTCAAGTATCTACCTTTAATACTCCACGCCACGTGTACCTCTGATGGTTAAGTTCTAAACGTACATTATCAGATACTGGCATAGACGGTGATTTCTGAACAAATAAGTATTTTAATTCAACCAATATCTAGACATATAACATACAGTTATCTACGTTTGAACAACTTTTGTTTTACATACGTACACCATAACAGATATTTAGCCAACTGACCTCTAGCATTTTTATCTGTTTTCAACCCATAAAGTAAGCAACACCGGACACTTGATAACCCGTAATCGTCTAACTTCTAGACTATTCTTTTCAGTTTAAAATTTAAAAAATTGTATTTTAATCTTTAAGCAAGAAGTACCGTACACTCACTTTTTTAGTACGTCGTTTCTGATCTGACAGATAGCTAGACAGTGAACCCCACATCCCACTTGGAATCTATGACCTATCCGGCTGCCTACCAGCTATTATCTCTGTGTTATAATAAATAATTTGAAGTAGAAACATACGTTTTTGTACAAAAATAAATCGTATATGAGTTATAAAAGTGGAGAAAAAAAAATTAATTATTAAAATAGATATAGTCATTAAGTAAAATAGATTATTTTTTTTTAACTTATTCAGCGTTAATAAAATAGATGATTACTAAATATATGAATTTAATTATTTGAAATTATATAAAAATGTGCAGGTTTAGTTGTACAATGGATTGCCTCATCTGAAAACTATTGATGTGTCAATTTTGAGTACAATATTTCGATTGTGTATGTTTAAAAAATAACAAGATAACCGTCTTCAACTTGATGTTATACCGACATTACTTGAAAGTATACGAGAGCAACACGCTGTAAAATATTTTGCCAATGATGAACATGAGACTGTGAATAAATGTTTTTTTTTTAAACTAGACATTTCGACGTTTAAAAAATAATTAAGCATATAATTTTTTTTTGAAAATCCCATAAAAGTATAAAAAAAGTTCACCATTTTTTTTTTCATCACTTTTCGGTGACATTTTATATATTGAATATCGACGGTTTTTGATTAAAGTAAAGTAAAGATAACAGGTTGAGTTACATATTTATAAAAGTTTTATGTATAGTTTTTATAAAAAAAACATTAAATAGTTCTTGAAAATAAAATATATACGCATAGTATAGTAATACATGTATCTTAATAGTTATGGAGTCAAACTATGTTAAAATAAATAGTCTGATATTCTTAATTTTAAATGCAACAATGACCAATCCAGCAAGTTTCAATGGTATCGTTAAAAATAACGTAAATTCGGTAGCTAGAGCTAGACCTACAATTATTCTTAAAAAACCGCCAATTACATCTATATGTTTATCGCTCAGAAATGTCTTGCTATCAAAGGTGTGTTAACAACGTCATGTTGAATCATATAGGCAATCATTTGGTTCGTTTGATTGTAAAGCACCAAATCTGAGCTGTCGAGTTGATAACCCTGCGTTAGAGACGATAATTTGACCAGGGTAGCAATAAACTTAACATATTATCTATCACACGTTGTACTATTTGCCCTTTGTGTTCGAAGGTCGGAATATTTAGTTGTTTATAATACTTGGTCCAGTTTAAAATCGATTACTGCCAAACAGGCAATTCCGTGGTATATATACCGTGGGTTCAGTAGTCATACATTCAGTACAACTACAAATTACAAACAATACTGACTCGTTGCTTGTACATTTTATAACGCAATTTTGCAATCATGTACCGATTAATTTTTGTGTTTCTCGCTGTAACCAGCGTTTGGTCCGCAATCATAACCGTGAACGTGAACGTGGATACGCAATCCGGCGACACTCGGGCTGTAAGTTTTAATTCTGATCCAAATAATGATACAATGCGTGCAGAAAAACAAAAAGTGACATTTACGGTACAGTACAACTACAACGACAGTTATTTGGAAGTACGTGACTCATTTTTAAACTATGGAAAATGGGCCGATGGAGATTGTAATGAGATAACATCTCCAAATGGATTGAAAATCTCAAATGATAATCCGCTGACCATTCGGGCGTGCGGCCGTGCTAATTCACCGACTGGTGTGGATGGTTATATATACCTGAGGAAGCAAGGCGAGACGGAAAATGATTACAAGGTGAAGTTTATCGTGCCGTGGATTGGTTCAGACACGTTTCTTGTGGAATCCGTTAAAGACGATCAGGTTGTATCTTGTGTGATACCCTCTGCAACAGGGGTCAGGTCGCTTAAAGAAACTGTTCGCTGTAAACAAGTTATATAATGCGCAACATTACCGTAATCGCATTGTATTAGTGTAGCCTTAGTGAATACTTTGTGTAATAATAATTGTATATTTAGTTAATAGTGTAATCCAATCGTAGTATTGTAATAAAAATTATAATTTGAGAGCAAAAATGGTTTTTTTGTTATACATTTTATACTCAAAATACCTTTTCTTATATGCAAATTAGTTATATTGGAAATGTTAAACTGGATATATTCTGTTAACATTTAGTATTTTAAAAATACAAATGTTAAAAATAAGTAATTATTCTCCACGGTTCAAAAGTTATAACTATTTAAAAAGTTCAAATTAGTGCAATACTACAACAAATAGTTTTGAATTTTGGTTGTCTCGTAAAAAGTGTAATATGTTAACTAAACAAATGTACTACAAAATTGATTTAACTGCCTAAAATTTTCATTAGCTCTGGCACTTAACCGAAAAATGTATAACGAAAAAAAGCGTTACAAGATAGGGGTGGGAGATAGGATGAGTGGAAAGGGGTGAGAGATATGGGTAGGGATAGGGGTGAGTGATAGTGGGTTGAAAATAGGGGTATGAGATGGGGGTAGGAGATAGGGGATGGGATATAGTGGGTAGAAGATAGGGAAAAATATAGGAGATAAGAGATAAGAGATATGTTGTACGTTCAACGTTCAAATTAGAACTAAATAATAAATTCAAAATATTGATCGTTGGACGGAAAATCACCGAGGCAGAAACAATCCGGAAGGTCTGCCACATTTATTCGCACTTACTAAAAGGCACCTTAGTGTTTAGGTAAAAGGTATTTAAGTAAATTTATTTACAGGGTGTGTGTATAACGGTTAGTGTACCAAAGTGTGAATACGACAAACATTTTGTACATCCAATATCGACGATTTTTCTTTAGGATAA